TCTATGGCGCTGACATCCTAACCTGCAACCGATCTTTTTTATTTTATCCCATAAGTTAAGGTTGTAAACCTATATCAACTGATAACGGTAGTTTCAGCCAAAGAGTCAAGTGACCTTTGCAATTCAAGATCCTTTACTACGTATTCGGCATTGTTAACATAACTATTCTACCTTCACACTTTTTCTTCCCCCTTACCTCACAACTGTTCAGGTTCAATCACTCTCATCCCACACCTCTATATTATCGGTATTCTGTCTATCCATCTTTTCTTCAGTCTCTAACTTCTACAGCCACTCGCACAATATTTTATCATACAGTCACAGAGCCACCTAAACCTGTTCTCTCTTGTTTTCACTACAATATATGCCACAACACAACACTACACAATCTTTAGTTAATACATTTTCTATTCTATCCTCCTTTATACCTCAACACCTAATTAATATTCTCATATCTGCTACACACACTTCGCAACCTAACCTAAAGTACATTTCCTTTTCGCATTTCCCTTTCATATAAGCTAAACATTCTGAAATCCTGTTGATGGCATTGGCCCTATGAATCATCTTTCTTTAATGAACTTATCATTTTGAATAGTTTTTTCTGTTAAGTTTCTGGACATTTTAGTTTGAACTCTTTAATGTGTGGTCCTATTGTTTAATTTCTTCTAATTTTTTTTTTTTTTGTTTTGTGTTATCTGTTTAAGATTCTGGACATTTTATAATTTGACTCTTTAATGTGTGGTCCTGTTGTTTAATTTCATCTAATTTTTTTTTTTAGTCTTGTGTTATCTGTATAAGAATCTCTACATTTTAGTTTGAATTCTTTAATGTGTGGTCCTATTGTTTAATTTCTTCTAATTTAATTTTTTTTTGTTTTCTAAAACGCATTTGCCTTCGGGCGCCAACATCCCCCTTCAATTTTTTTTTTTTTAGTTATTTAACTCTAGTTAAATATTTTGTTTAGACTTGAACGTTGATAACCTGACTCTTTAATGTGTGGTCCTATTGTTAAATTTCTTCTATTTTTTTTTGTTTTGTGTTATCTGTTAAGTTTCTGGACATTTTAGTTTGAACTCTCTCATGTGTAATCCTATTGTTTAATTTCTAATTTTTTTTTTTTTTGTTTTCTAAAACGCATTTGCCTTCGGGCGCCAACACCCCCCTTCAATTTTTTTTTTTTAGTTATTTAACTCTAGTTAAATATTTTGTTTAGGCTTGAACGTTGATAACCTGCATTGGCCCTATGAATCATCTTTCTTTAATGATCTTATCATTTTGAATAGTTTTTCTGTTAAGTTTCTGGACATTTTAGTTTGAACTCTTTAATGTGTGGTCCTATTGTTTAATTTTTTCTAATTTTTTTTTTTGTTTTGTGTTATCTGTTTAAGATTCTGGACATTTTATAATTTGACTCTTTAATGTGTTGGCCTATTGTTAAATTTCTTCTATTTTTTTTTTTTGTTTTGTATTATCTGTTTAAGAATCTGGAAATTTTCATTTGAATTCTTTAATGTGTGGTCCTATTGTTTAATTTCTATTTTTTTTTTTGTTTTCTAAAACGCATTTGCCTTCGGGCGCCAACTCCCCCTTCAATTTTTTTTTTTAGTTATTTAATTCTAGTTAAATATTTTGTTTAGACCTGAACGTTGATAACCTGCATTGGCCCTATGAATTATCTTTCTTTAATGATCTTATCATTTTGAATAGTTTTTCTGTTAAGTTTCTGGACATTTTAGTTTGAACTCTTTCATGTGTGGTCCTATTGTTTAATTTCTAATTTTTTTTTTTTTTTGTTTTCTAAAACGCATTTTCCTTCGGGCGCCAACACCCCCCTTCAAATTTTTTTTTTAGTGATTTAACTGTAGTTAATTTTTTTGTTAAGATGTGAACAATGATAACCTGCAGTAATTATTTTAAATAGTTTTATCTATTTAAGAATCTGGATATTTTAGTTAAAACCTAGTTATTTTGTTGTGATTATATAATATTATTCGTGGGTACCTACTTGAAATTTCTAAAGTGTACTATTATACGTCTATGATAGTATCAGGGTTTGTTATTGATGTTGATGTATAACGTGTTATAAGTACCTAATGGATATTGTGATAAGTTGATATGATTAATTTGGAATTTATTATAGGTCAATTTTTTTAATACCATAGATATGTATATAATTTTTCTTAAACCTAGACTGACATACCGTCTTCGCTCAGAATCGTTTTTCTTATACAATGATATTGTATCAATGAATTCAAATTTAATAGCATCCATTATACAGTGACCCACTTGTAACCTACTATACAGCAGAGCGACATCCACTTACCCACCTTTTTTTTTTTTGTGTGTCTGTCATCACGTTTTAGGACAGTAAAAGTACTTGGATTTTCTTCAACAGTAGCTTTTCTGATAGGAAAGTGAATCTAGTTGGTACTTTGGGGGGGTCAAAAATTTTCCGTTTTTTTTTAGTTCTTTTCTAGAAATATCAATAAAATTTTATTTGTTGGTTAAAAAAGCTTGAAAATTTAATAGAAGGCTTCTAGTATATTGTTTCAAAGGCAGATGAAAAATATTAAAATTCCTTAGTCACAGTTTTGTTTTATAAGCATTTAAAGTTCAAAAATTGACAAAATACGTAAAAATCACGAAAATTAGCAAATTATTTTGAGTTAAGAATTCGTAAAAATTTTTCTTTTTAATTATAAGATTTGAAAATGTAATACAAGATTCCTTATAAGATTATCTACCTTTATCAACAAAAAAAATGTCTATAAGAAAGTCAAATTCAATTTTTATGAGCGTTTGAAATTCAAATTTCTACAACATTGGATATTCACTCGATTTCTCATGTAGCGATTTCCTTATTTTGTTGTAATTCAAAAGCGAACAACTGTAGATAAATGAAAATTTCACTGAATGTTTAAATTAGCATTTTCTATACACCATAAAATTTTGAAAATATTTTGACTCTTCTTGAACTGTTTACGGACATTTTCAGTTTTCAATTTTTTTAGTTTTTTTTTCTATAAATATCAATAAAGTTTTATCTGTTGGGCCAAAAAGTGTAAAAATTTAATACAAGACTCCTGATATATTGTTACAATATCAGTTCAAAAACATTGAAAATACATAGGCACAATTTTTTTTTATAATCATTTAAAGATCGAATTTTGACAAAATTTATCAAAATCTCGAAAATTATCAATCATTGTAATTAATAAATTATAAAATGTTCAGTTTCTATAGCTAAGGATTGCAAATTTAAAACAAAGGTTCTCATAAATAGGTCATACTGTAACCAAAAAATCTAAAAAATATATTAACACAGTTATTTTTTACAGACATTTTAAATTCAAATTTGGACGAAATTACATATTAAAAAAGGTTGTCAAGTGGGTGTCGCTCTGCTGTACAGTAGGTAACAAGTGGGTCATTGTATAATGGATGGTATTAAATTTGAATTCAATGATATAATATAATTGTATAAGAAAAACGATTCTGAGCGGAGACGGTATGTCCTTCTAGGTATAAGACATATTATATACATATCTATGGTATTAAAAAAAATTGACCTATAATGAATTCCAAATTAATCATATCACAATATCCATTAGGTACTTATAACGTGTTATACACCAACAACAAACCCTGATACTATCATAGATATATATAGTAGATTACTTTAGAAATTTCAAGTACCCACGAATAATATTATACAATCACAACAAAATAACTAAAATCGTAATTCTTGGTTTAAATATGAAATTTTGTCTAAATTTGAAATTAAAATGTCTGTAAAAAATAAGTGTGTTTATATATTTTTTAGATTTTTTGGTTACAGTATGAATTATTTAAGAGAATCTTTGTTTTAAATTTTCAACTCTTAGTTATAAAAACTGAACATTTTATAATTTTTTAATTCCAACGATTGATAATTTTCGAGATTTTGATAAATTTTGTCAAAATTCCAACTTTAAATGCTTATAAAAAAAAATCGTGCTTATGTATTTTTAAAATTTTTCAACTGATATTGTAACAATATATAAGAAAGCTTGTATTAAATTTTCAGACTTTTGGCCCACCAAATAAAATTTTATTGACAATTATAAAAAAAAAAAACTAAAAAAATGAAAAATGAAAATGTCCCTTAAACAGTTCAAAATAAATCAAAATATTTTGAAAATGTTATCGTGTATAGAAAATGCAAATATAAACAACCAGTGAAAATGTCATGTATATACGTTCATTTGTTTTAGAGTTACAACAATAACCAAAATCGATTTTTTGGAAAAAAATGCTAGTGCTAGCAAGGCAACCAAACAGCAGAGAATTAGGTCTCGCCCGTCGGCAATACTTGTCAACGTTAGCACTGATGAATTCCCTGAACTGGCCAGGAGGATACGGGGCGGAGTCGATGCTGAAATAATCGGTGACAGCGTAGTGAGCATGAGGCAAGCCAAATCCGGTGGCCTCCTCATCGAGGTCCGAGGCGACCAAACGCGGGTAGAAGCTGTACGTGCTGAAGTCGCAAGGTCCGCCGGTTCGGAGGTGGAAGTTCGTGCCCTGCAGCAAAGGGCCCTCTTAGAAGTGCGAGACCTCGACCAATGGACCAGTTCCGACGAGGTGCTGGGCGTAGTGGCCAACACTACGGGCGTTGGACTGGAATCAGTTAAGGTAGTAAGCCTTAGAAAGAGGTTTGGCGACACCCAAATGGCCCTAGTATCCCTCCCGCTAGAAGCATCAAAGGGACTGATAAACTCGGGACGCCTGCGGATCGGCATGGTGAGCTGCAGGGTGAGGCTGGCCGAGACCAAGACTAGATGCTTTCGCTGCCTAGCGTTTGGGCACACCTCGAAGACGTGCGATGGCCCTGATAGGACCAAGTGCTGCAGGCGCTGCGGCGAAGCTGGACATAAGGCGGCTAGCTGTAGTGCAGATGCCCTGGTGGTGAGCGCCTTCGCCAAGATTGTCGACGCTAACGCAGCCAAAGTTGTACCGCCATGATGATGATGAACCCTTTCGACCCCACACACGCAGTTCTCTCGGATGGAATTAAAGTAATTCAGATTAACCTGAATCACTGTTGGGCTGCACAACAATTGCTTCTCCAGACAATGGCAGAATTGCAATCTAGTATTGCAATCATTAGCGATTACTATAGACCAATGGGTGGCGATGAACGGTGGTTCAACAGTGTCGACGGAAAATCTGCAATCTTCGTAACGGGTAATTCATGTCCCACTATTACTCATCACGGCGCCGGACCAGGTTTCGTTTGGGTAAGAATCGACAACTTAGTACTATATAGCTGTTATTGCAGCCCTAACTGCACTCTGCAAGAGTTTGACGCTTTCCTTGGCGGCCTCGAAGCGTCCATCCGCCTACAACCCTGTAGACAGGTAAACCTTGTAGTGGCCGGTGATCTAAACGCGCACTCTGCCGAATGGGGATCGGCCAGGCAAGGTGCGAGAGGGTCACTACTTTCGGACTTTGTGTCGTCCCTCGGCATGGTAGTCAGCAATAGAGGCTCCGTACCCACATATAGAAGGGTGAATGCAAGCTCGGTTGTTGATGTCACCTTTGCTAAATCTCTACCCAACAATCACCCGTTGGTAAAAGACTGGAAGGCGCTGGAACACGTATACTCGGCCAGCGATCATGTGTACATCTCCTACGCAATCGCGCTACCAGAACGTCGCACAAACAATAACCCAGTCAGAGTTGCGGTCGCAGGTTGGTCGATTAAAAAACTCAACCCGGCGTTGCTGGACCTACATTGGGGTCTAGTGCTTCCCCCCCTCCCGCCGTCAACAGGCGCGTCGGCAGACTGTCATGCAGATAGCCTCAACAGCTTTCTAACAGAAGCTTGCAAGGCGGCGATGCCACCAAGAGCAGCGCTGACGGGGAAAAAATCTGTGCATTGGTGGAACGCCGAGATTGCCGAACTACGCAGGATTGCCATTGCCGCCCTAAGGAGGTATCAGCGCGCAGGCCGCAGATCAGGTGCTCCACTACGGGTGGCTGAACGCGAAGCTTATAACACGGCTAGGATGAACATCAAGAAGGCAATTAGACAGGCGCAGGAAAAAAGCTGGCATGAGCTGTGTCTTGCAGTCAATAATGACCCCTGGGGCGTCCCTTACAGGCTGGTTACAAAGAGGCTTGGGCGTCGCGCTCCTGCCATGGATCTGGTGACTGTAAGCAACGTGGCACATGGCCTTTTTCCGTCGCCACCAGCTACGGACTGGGTTCACATCCCCCTGTCTATACAGCAGTCGTCAGTCTTAATTGATCTATCCGATTGTGCACCAATGGCGCCACCAATTACTGCGCACGAAGTCAAGTGCGCAGTCGATAGACTGCCATCTGGTAAGGCGCCAGGGCCAGATCAGGTGCCAAATGAGATAATAAAGTTGGCCTTCGCCAAGTTTCCGGAGAGATTCATAAATTGCTATAACGCGTGCCTAACTAATAGGACCTTCCCATCCCGGTGGAAATGTGCAAAACTAGTACTGCTACATAAGGGCCAGGGTAAGGCACGGGACCTACCCTCCAGCTACCGGCCGATTAGCCTGCTAGATGGAGCCGGCAAGGTGTTCGAAAGGGTGCTGTTAAACCGACTCGAGGCCCATATCACTCGGGTCGGCGCAATTAGTGACTCCCAATTTGGGTTTAGACGGTCGAAATCAACCACGGACGCAATAGAGGAAGTCATGAAGACGGCTCACGAAGCGAACCACGGCCCAGTTCGAGCCAGGAAACTTTGTGTCCTCATTACCCTGGACGTGAGGAATGCCTTTAACTCTGCGCCTTGGAGGCTTATCGATGAGGCACTGAGGAAATCCGTAGTCCCCAAGTACTTAGTTGAGATAATGCGTTCCTACATGCAGGCCAGGAATCTGAAAATAACCGATGACATTAACATGGGGGTAACATGCGGGGTCCCGCAAGGATCAGTCCTCGGCCCCACACTGTGGAACCTTTTTTATGACGGTGTGCTGCGCATCCCAATGAGAGATGGCGCCAAGCTAATTGCATTTGCGGACGACGTGGCAGTAGTGGTAACTGCTTTCAATGCAGAGCTCGTCGAACAGATTGCGAATCCCACCCTGGAAGATATAGCAGCCTGGATGACCACCAATGGCCTGCAGCTAGCACCTGAGAAATCGGAGTGTGTAGTTCTGACAAACAAGAAGAAATTTCGCAACCCGGACCTTTTCATCCATGGTCATCAGATCCCGTCCAAGCGGGCCATCAGATATTTGGGAGTCCAATTGGATACCAGGCTGTCATTTATCGAACACGCGAGCACTGTAGCTGTTGGGGCGAGGAAGGCAGTAGCCGCCCTGGGCAGACTCATGCCTAACGTCGGAGGCCCGACGCAGGCGAAAAGACAGCTCCTAATGAGTGTGGTCCATAGCCGACTGCTATACGGTGCAGCAATCTGGTCAGAAGAAGTATCCAGGTTTCAAAAGTCTAGTAACGTAATGCTACAAGCGCAGAGGTGTGCGGCACTGAGGGTTGCAAGGTGTTATCGTACAGTGTCCGATATGGCAGCCCTTGTACTGGCCAAGATGCCCCCGGCAACCCTCCTAGCGGGAGTCAGGAAACAGATTGCGGCAGCGAAAAAAGCCGGCGCCGCTCTGTCCAAGCGTGATATGATGGCCGATGTCCTTAGACGTTGGCAAAATCTATGGGACTCTACCGGAAAGGCGGCATGGACTAAACGGCTGATACCCAATCTGTCCAGGTGGTGGCAATGTGGTCCACGCGAAGTGAGCTACCACATGTCGCAGGCCCTTAGTGGCCATGGCTGTTACCAAAATTACCTTTGGACAAGGAACAAGGCGCCGAGTCCAGCTTGTCCCCACTGCACCGCAGAGGTCGACGACGCTGAGCACACTGTGTTTGTGTGCTTCTTCTGGAGTGAGGAGAGGAAAGAGGTTGAACAATCCCTGGGCCGGCCAGTACGCCCGGAGGACGCCATGGACCTCCTGTGCGGACCATCGGCAGCGGAGTTACCAACCGAAGTACCACTCAGGGGTAGGATCCTGGCTGCAGCAGAGAAAAGGAAAGTCCAGTTCGCTCAGATGGTTGAGGTGATCATGGGCCGCAAGGAGGAGCTGGAGAGGGCGAGACAGCGGGAAGCTGCGGTGGAATAAAGGCGACCTGTCAAGTCATCTTAGTTGAGATTTTGTTTGTTGTAGGCTGAATGGCCAAACTTTTCAGGGTGGTTAGAGGCCCCCTTTTTTATTTGTAACTAAATTTATATGATGTTATGTAATGTGATGTATATTGTATCAATAAACGATGCGGCCAGGGAGGCAGCAATGGGGAAACCTACTTCCCTCCCTGTCCGTGATTCCAAACCGGAAAAAAAAAAAAAAAAAAAAAGGTTACAAGTGGGTCATTGTATAATGGATGGTATTAAATTTGAATTCAATGATATAATATCATTGTATAAGAAAAACGATTCTGAGTGGAGACGGTATGTCCTTCTAGGTATAAGACATATTATATACATATCTATGGTATTAAAAAAAAATTGACCTATAATAGGTACCTATAATAAATTCCAAACTAATCATATCACAATATCCATTAGATACTTATAACGCGTTATACATAAACAAAAACCGTGATACTATCATAGATATATAATAGTACACTTTAGAAGTTTCAAGTACCCACGAATAATATTATTCAATCACAACAAAATAACTAAAATCGTAATTCTTGGTTTAAATATGAAATTTTGTCTAAATTTGAAATTAAAATGTCTGTAAAAAATAAGTGTGTTTATATATTTTTTAGATTTTTTGGTTACAGTATGAATTATTTAAGAGAATCTTTGTTTTAAATTTTCAACTCTTAGTTATAAAAACTGAACATTTTATAATTTTTTAATTCCAACGATTGATAATTTTTAAGATTTTGATAAATTTTGTCAAAATTCCAACTTTAAATGCTTTTAAAAAAAAATCGTGCCTATGTATTTTTAATATTTTTCAACTGATATTGTAACAATATATCAGGAGCCTTGTATTAAATTTTTACACTTTTTGGCCCAACAGATAAAACTTTATTGATATTTATAGAAAAAAAAACTAAAAAAAATTGAAAACTGAAAATGTCCATAAACAGCTCAAAAAGAGTCAAAATATTTTCAAAGTTGTATGGTGTATAGAAAATGCTAATTTAAACATTCAGTGAAATTTTCATGTATCTACAGTTGTTCGTTTTTGAATTGCAACAAAATAAGGAAATCGCTACATGAGTAATCGAGTGAAAATCCAATGTTGTAAAAATTTGAATTTCAAACGCTCATAAAAATTTAATTTGACTGTCCGGTAGAGATTTTTTTATTGATAAAGGTAGATAATCTTATAAGGAATCTTGTGTTTCATTTTCAAATCTTAGATTTAAAAAGAAAAATTTTTACGAATTCTTAACTCAAAATAATTTGCTAATTTTCGTGATTTTTCCATATTTTGTCAATTTTTGAACTTTAAATGCTTATAAAAAAATTGTGACTAAGGATTTTTAATATTTTTCATCTGCCTTTGAAACAATATATTAGGAGCCTTCTATTAAATTTTCAAGCTTTCGCAACCAACAAATAAAATTTTATTGATATTTCTAAAAAAAAAACTAAAAAAAAATGAAAAATGAAAATGTCCCTAAACAGTTCAAAATAAATCAAAATATTTTGAAAATGTTATCGTGTATAGAAAATGCAAATATAAATAACCAGTGAAAATTTCATGTATCTACGGTCATTTGTTTTAAAGTTACACCAAAAACCAAATTCGATTTTTTGGAAAATCGATTTTGCGTAAAAATTCCCGTTTTTCCTTAATTTTTATGTTGTTTTTCCCGGCGCTTGTGAAAACTACTGGAAAATGTTTACTTTTGACCCCCCAAAGTACCAACTAGATTCACTTTCCTATCAGAAAAGGTACTATTGAAGAAAATCGAAGCACTTTTACTGTCCCAAAACGTGATGACAGACACAAAAAAAAATATAAAAATATAAAAATATAAAAACACACATCATTGTAAAACCAATACATTCATCGCTCCGCTCAGAATCTAAAATATAAATAAAAACATACATCATTGTAAAACCAATACATTCATCGCTCCGCTCAGAATCTAAAACCTAGAATAACTATTTTAGTTATTTTGTTGTGATTGAATAATATTATTCGTGGCTACTTGAAACTTCTAAAGTGTACCTACTATTATATCTATGATAGTATCACGGTTTTTGTTAATGTATAATGCGTTATAAGTACCTTTGGATATTGTGATATGATTAATTTGGAATTTATTATAGATACCTATTATAGGTCAATTTTTTGTTTAATATCATAGTTATGTATATAATATGTCTTATACCTAGACTGACATACCGTCTCCGCTCAGAATCGTTTTTCTTATACAATGATATTATATCATTGAATTCAAATTTAATATCATCCACTATACAGTGACCCACTTGTAACGTACTGTACAGCAGAGCGACACCCACTTGCCAACCTTTTTTTTTTTTTAATTTTTGCAAATGTCTCAATTACTTAATTATAATTCATACCTTCACAGCAAGTACTCATATTAGATAATTTGGCTAAAATTAAATATTTATTAAATTAGTAAGGGCCGGTACTTTTGTATTCTCTTGGGCCGAAATCTCCCCTCCTTTTTTCACCCTTGAGTTGAAGTTTTAATTTGTGTTGAAAGATATGATAAAAAAATAAAATAAACAACAATATATTATAAATTATAATAATAATAATAATAATATAAAGACTATAATATGTATACTATTTGACTATAACGACTAATTTTCGTGAAATATATTTTGTGATATTATGGCTATTGATTGAAGTAATTTATTTAATATTGGTATTACTAATACAGCCTAGGTATCTGGGTTGAATTCACTTTACGAGCTAATTTTAAAATTTAATATTTGAGTTAATTTTGTTAGAAAATAAAACGGTATCTTATAATCCATGTAATTGAATTATTTTAATTTTAACAAATATTTTATATTTTATTTTTTTACTTTATATATACTGGAGGTACTATGATGCGCAATATACATAGATATAATTGCAATTTTGCTCATTGCATTTTTATTTGTATACATAATTTATTTGGTTGAATTACTTATTAAATATAAGTTATCATAAATATATATTATAATATATAATATGTATGTACTCGAATATATTAAATATACAAACTACCATTTAATAATACATAAATAATAAAACAAAATAAGAGTATGTGGGACGTGGGTACCGCTCTGCTATAAATTAGGTGTCTAGCAGGTACCTAATGGATGTTAGTCCAGTCGAATTAAGAAAAAGATCGGAAAAAATTCGCCCCCAACTGAATTTTGATACACACTTAAAATGTACCTTCCCAATTAATGATTGATTTTCATTTGATATTGGTACTTTAAAAGTTTAATTGGTACAATGGTACCACGAATAATATTTTTAAATAACACAAAAAAACTAAAATCGTTATTCTCCGTTTAAATATTTAATTTCATCCAAATTTGAACTTAAATTATCTATTAGAAACTGTGTTTATATAATTTTTTATAAATATTTTTGAGAAATCTTATTTTGAAAATGTTATACCTACATTATTAGCTAAAAAAATAAGTTCTTGTAAAATATTTAATAAAATTTACACACATTACTTATAGCGTTTTCGGGTTTTACACTCGACTGCACTAGTGGCTAGTGCACACTAAACACGCGGACAATGACATGTAATACCACAATGGTGTACCTGAGAACTACAACACTACATTGATGTATAACAGTTTAACACCATCTTAAATCGTGGTGTATAATAATGAAGTGGAAAATGTCTTGCATTATGATAAGGATAACATAAAATTATTTTCCCTCAGCTTCTATATGTCCATATAAAAATCTGTGCATTTTCCACACCGCCAAAATTCACGGTGTCGTTTTTCTGCACTCCTGTAAATAAAATTACATTGCGCCATAATACGAAATGATTATTTCACTGACGATACTAATCATTATCATGCCACCTGTATACACACTAGTGCAGTCAGGTGGAAAACGCTATTAAATACTTTTATATAATATTAACATACCTATAAAAACATATCAAACAGCCAGACAGGTTATACAATTTGGCTTTAAAAAGTTAAAAATTAAGTTTGCTATAATAAATGAACACTTGTCTTAAACACCTATCTGCGGAAAAATGTCTGGCTTGTTATAAAAAATTATAGTCTTATGGTATATGGTAGGTTAAATACATTTTTGCCAAAAACTATTAGTATCGTAGTTGTAAATAGCACAATTTTTTTGTTGGGAGGGGGCAGAAGTATAAATGAAACTTTATACCAAACGTAAATTGACTACCTATGTATCTGTAATCTGTGTTATATACCTGTTTTTTATTATAAAACAATATATTTACAATTATAGGTATGTATTCTTAAAAATCTTAAAAAATACATATAAGACAAAATATTTTTTTACAATCTTTTATTATTATTTAGATAGTTTTTAAGATAAACAAATAAAAACTTGCTTAAAGTGTAATTTTAAAAATATGATTTCTCAAACTAAATAATATAATCTGTAAGACAATTTGAATATTATATAAGCACATTCAATTTCAGTGTAATCAGTCTTCACACTGAACTATTATTATGATAGAATGCTTAAACAAATGAAAACTACGAAAGTTAAAAAAAAATAATGTATCAACAGACAAAAGACAATCTTAAATGTAAATGAAATATTGGAACAATAGTTGTAGAATATTTTGTTAAACACAAAAAACATAAATTATAATAATAAACCATAATTTGTATCAAATTGCGCTGTATGGTTTTTATTTTTAAATTTTAATTATTGCTTTCTACTTTTTCAGTGTCTGAAGTCTCATTTTCAACATGGGCAGTTTCAGTTGTATTCCCAGACAATTCTTCATAATATATTTATTAATATATTTTATATTTATTTATTTTTTTTTGCATAATATATTATAAATAGCCATACAGGTGTACTATAGGTAGGTATTAGGTACAATACAATAAGTAAAAGTTATGTTAGAAGTTATCGTGTTAGGTATACTTGAGAGAAGGGAATGTGCA